GGCTGGTGCCCAGCTGCTGAGCTGCGCGGCCGGGCGCCATCTGGGCCCTTAGAAGGTCACGGGGGAAGCAGTGATTCGTGTGCTGGGGCTTCAGATCATTTTCCAAAACCTTATGACTAAGCCCCTCGGCAGGTCAGGTCTCCCCTGACTCTGTCCCTCCAGCTGCCCTGGGCAGAGGCAGCCGTGCGGTGAGGCCAGAGCGGGGAGCACAGGCCGGCCCCGCCCCGATGGCCACGCAGCCGCCAGTGCGCGCCCCCCCCATCGCCGAGGGACCCTCCTGAGCCCTCCCATCTCCCAGCCCCGTCCCCTCAGAGCGCCCGGCTGAGCAGTGAGTCAGGCGTGAACGTCTCTCAAATCCATCTTCTCCTGGTTCCCCGCCGGGCCCAGAGGCGCCGCCGCAGGCGTTTGGCCGACCTTGCGGCTCTGCCGCGGTGCCAGGCGGCTCTGGCACGGCTCCCGCCAGCAGCTCCTGCACCTGCGGCCTGGCCGGCGGAGCCCACTGCCTGCCAGCCGCCCAGGCAGCGGCGGGAGGCTGCCGCGGTGTCCTCAGAGCTCCCTGGCCCTGGTGGCCGGGCCCGGAGACACCCACTCCTTGGCTCCAAGCCCGGGCTGGGGCCGGCGGCGGGGCTGGCCTGGCTGAGGAGCCTCGTCGCAGGGAGGGCCGACCTTCATCCGGCACCGGCCCCCGAGGGGGAGACCTACAACGTGCCCACCCAAAGGGAGATGAAAGGCAGCTTCCCACAGGGACTCCGGCAGCGTGCTCTGCCCACCTCACCTCGGGGCTGGAAATAGATGTGGGAACGCCGGGTCTCGTGCAATCCCGAAGGGAGACTTAACGAAGAAAAGTCCATCGGTGTTCTTAAGACTGAAGCCTCCTCTGAGTTGGGCATTATTCATGGTGAGACTCTCAGACCGGGAAAGAAGGAAGTCCTTCTCATCGTTTTTGGCTGCCAAGCAATGAAAGGCCTTCTTCACTATTGTCCAGCTCCGGCTCTCCTGCAGCATTGTATCGTTTGGGTCACCCCTGTAACATCGTATCACTCAGGTCTCCCCTGTAACATTGTGTCACTCAGGTCTCCCCTGTAACATTGTGTCACTCAGGTCTCCCCTGTAACATTGTATCACTCAGGTGTCTCCTGTAACATTGTATCACTTGGGTGGCTCTTAGTAAATCATTCCAGCTGCAGACACTCCACGTGTACCCCTGGCCCTTCCTTCATCTGGATCACACCTGCCTCCAATCTCTGCATGGCTGTGTCTTTGCCCATTCAAGTCTCCACTTAAATACCACACCATCACCACCTCCTCCTCTCCCTCCCCTCCCCTCCCCCCTGCCCGGCTCCCTTCTGCAAAATTCCCCAGACAGATGTTCCTTTATCACGGGCCCTGCTCACCCCAGAGTCATTTGTTCTCATGCATCACGTCTGCCCCATCGCTGGGTCATTAGCTCTGTGAGAGCAGGGACCTTGCCTGACTCCGTCCTTGGTCATCTCCCTCCCCTCCCCGGCCCTGTTCTCCCGGTTTCTAAGACGAGGACTTGGGGTCAGGCGCTCCCTGGAGACCGGCTCTCACGGTCTTTGGCTCCCAGACGCTGACATTTCCAAATGCGTTTTCCAAATGAAGCGGAGCCTCGGGCAGCCCTGCGGGGAGGTCACCGGAGCCGCCAGCAGGCGCCGAGCTGCTCCGCACGCACAGCTCCCCCCGCGCCCGGCGCCCGGCCGCGGAGATGCAGCCCATCGGGCACTAAATGCGCAGTGACTGTCATTAAGCGGCAGGCATTAACTCTCCCAGGAGACCGTAAATCTCACGCCGGACTCGGGGCCGTCAGCCCCGCACAGTGGGACGAAGCGTGGGGAGTGGAATGTGAGACGCCACGAAAGAGAACCCAGACCACACCCCACCCCCCCACCCCCCCCACCCCCCCCCCCCCGCGTCACACAGATGCCGGCTGCGGGCTGCACCGCGTACGCCCTCCATTCCCGGCCTGCGGCAGCGGCGAACACACTCAGTCACCCCCTCTTCGTGCTGGGGCCAGAGAGCAGGCGCTGGTGTAATCCTCAGAGCGAGGAGAAGCTCTCCCTCCTTCTGCCTCCCAATCCCGGACCCTGGACCAGATCCCGGACCCTGGGCCAGATCCAGGGACTGGGCCTGATCCGGGGACACTGGGCCATATCCCGGACCCTGGGCCTGATCCCGGACCCTGGACCAAATCCCGGACCCTGGGGCTGATCCCGGACCCTGGGCCCAATCCGGGGACACTGGGCCTGATCCCGGACCCTGGGCCTGATCCCAGACCCTGGGCCAGATCTGGGGACCCTGGGCCTGATCCGGGGACCCTGGGCCAGATCCCGGACCCTGGGCCAGATCCTGGACCCTGGGCCAGATCCGGGGACCCTGGGCCTGATCCAGGGACCCTGGGCCTGATCCCGGACCCTGTGCCTGATCCCAGACCCTGTGTCAGATCCGGGAACACCGGGCCAGGTGTGCTGGGGGAGGGACATTTTCATTTTCAAAATGTTCTGCTTCTCCGGCCTCATTCCCCCTGCATAGCAGCCTGGGAGTTTGCATACATGTTTTCACGGGCACACGCATGTGAAGTAGGTGTTGCAGTTATCCCCATTTCACGCTGGAGAGAGCCACGCCTCAGAAGGGTGCGGGCACACCGCAGGACCACGCAGCCGGGAAAGAGGTCTCCCGGCTTTGACCTGCCCCAGCGCGTGCCCGGGACCCGCTTACCAAACGGGCGGGGCAATGCCAGCGAGGAGGCGTGCCCACGCCACAGCCCCGTGCAGACGGAGAAGCAGGGCTGGGCCGGGCGCTGCTCCCTCGCCCTGCAGCACGACAGACGGCGTTGGCCCCAGAGCAGATGGCAGCCAGCGCCCGGGTGCCTGCCGCGCCAGCCCAGAGGCCCCAGGGACGCAGCCGCGGGCCCTTCCCCAGGCGTCCTCCTCGCTTCCTCTGCATTTCGTCTGCAGGGAGACCAGCAGCCATTGCCTCTCTGGCTGCTCGTCTTGTGGCTTCTGCTCCGTTGAGTGAGAAGGAGGAGGAGTGAGAAAGGGAACTCCAGACCCAGAGGCTGGGCGAGCCGTGGACCTCACTGAGGTCTGAGGGCATCGAGCCCGGGTCCTGCCCCCTCCACGCCGAGGAAAGCACCATCGGTGGGACCGAGGCAAGACGGACATGACTCTGCATGTGCGTTCTTAACTAACACTGCTGAGCTCAGGAACCTCACATTTCCCACAGAGCCCGACACTTCACACATACCCATCTCACTTAGTTCCTAAAGCAGTGCTCATCCTTTAAGCAGTTGTTTGCACGTGGGATCTAAAGGACTGGGGAAGGAAAAGTGATCCCTGAACTGTGCCTGTCCGAGTCCCCGCGTCCCTGACCAGCTCCCGAGGCTGACCAGGTGGACAGGAGGAGAGAGACCCCGAACACGGCACCCTGTGTGAGCGGGACGGCAGAGGGACACGGCGCCCTGTCTGCGGAGAAAGGGAAATAGGCCGCCCACAGGGTGACCTTGAGCCTGCTCTGTTCTGGAAGAGCATCTTTTCGGAAACTCAGGGCGTTCACGCTCATTAGGAAGCAATTACAAGCGCACCACGCTGCCTGGCAGCCTCCCAGGGCCCCGCACGCCGCCCCTCAGAGCCGCCAGCCGGAACGCAGGGGGAGAAGGCCGGTGATTAAGAACGGTCACCCAGTCCACGAGGATCGTGTGCGGAGACCGACTGGGAGGCGCTGGGACTGGACGAGGGGACGAGGCAGGATGTTGTCCCTGCGCCTGCCGCTCCCGGGACCCGCGCTTCCTTCTGTCTGTCCCCCTTCGCTCCAGCACGCCGCCCAGCGCATGCCTGCGACTTCACGATGTTATGAATAAATAAATGCATCGGGCCGAGACCAGTTTGGCTCAGTGGATAGAGCGTCGGCCCCTGAACCAGGAGGTCAGGGCACAGGCCCGGGTCGTGGGCTTCCTCTCTGAAATCAATAAAAATGTATTGTTTAAAAAAAAAAAAAAAAAAAAAAAAGGGGGAGAGGGAGAAAGAGAGAAACATCAGTGATGAGAGAGAATCATAGGTCAGCTGCCTCCTGCACGCCCCCTACTGGGGATGGAGCCCGCCACCCGGGCCTGTGCCCTGCCCGGGAATCAAACCAATGACCTCCTGGGCCACACAGGCCGGGCAGCACTTTGACGGAGGCCTTCTCCACAGACACAGCACCGATGCCTCCGCTGCTGCCCCTGGCATTGCCGTGTGGCCAGTGCCCGCCCAACCACAGGAACTTCCCGAGAAAGCGGCCTGCTGTTCGCGGGGAGCGCGTTTTCCGCATTCAACCCGTTCGGGCAGCCAGACCTGGAATAATGATCCAGGAAATGGTCGCTGTACACGGCAATCATCTCCCTCAATTACACGAATTAATACGCTAAGCACTTGAAAAACTCTAGTCTCAAATCAAGCTACTTATTTAATACAATACATTATGTGCTTTAAAAAAAAAAAAAAAAAAAAAAAAAAAAAACGTGCAGTAGCTGATTTTCATTATGGAAATGAGCGCTTTTCTTCGGTTCTTCCTGGAAGGCGTTTGTTAGTTTCATAACCCGACTGGGACTCATTCAGCCGGCAGTCAGGCCTGTGCTGCCGTGGCGGAGATGGGAGCGTGAGAGGGCGGACGGACGGACAGCAGTGTGCTGCGGCTCGCTCGGACCCGCCCCGTGCCCACCGCCAGGAAGTCTGTGATCTTATGGTTAAACACAGCCACGATGGAAATGGAACATGCAGCCCGGCCGGCGTGGCCCAGGGCGGCCGAGGACCCAGGAGGTCACCATTGGATTCCTGGTCAGGGCACAGGCCCAGGTGGCAGGCCCCACCCACAGTGTGGGGTGTGCGGGAGGCAGCCGATCTATAATTCTCTCTCATCGTTGATGATTCCATCTCTCCCTCCCTCTCTGAAATCAATAAAAATATTTTTTTAATGTAAAGTGCAAAAAATCCGGGACGTTGGTGATGCGGGAGAATATAACTACTGTGTCTTCCGGAACTTTGCCAAAACCTCAGATGCGCGGCCTTCTGGCCAGGCACCTGAGATTTCATATCGTTGGAGCCGTACTTGTCTCCCTGGGGGTTGCAGCTTCCTATAAGTTTGGTGTAGCTGAACCAAGAAAGAAGGCATATGCAGATTTCTACAGAAATTACGATTCCATGAAAGATTTTGAGGAGATGAGGAAGGCTGGTATATTTCAGAGTACGAAGTGATCTTGGAATGTAAAGAATTTCTTTGGGTTGAATTCCACGGAAGTTTGTCACTGGCCTGTATTCCTAAACTCTATGAAACATGAATATTTGAGCTAAGGAATAGTTTCTCTTGATAAATAAACAATGAAATACTGTGGGGGGAAAAAAATTCAGCAAGGGAAGAATACAAGGGGCCTTCCTTGACCTGATGAAGGACAACTACAAACCCCACAGCTCCCAGCCCGCTAGCTGAGGGGAGACTGAGCTCGCCCACTCAGCTCAAGACCTTAGGTCAAGCTCTGCCCCTAAGCTCAACACCAAGACGAGGATGTCTGCTCTCACCACTTCCAGGCCACACTGCGCCAGAGGGTCTAGCCAAGGCAGTGAGGCAAAGAAAAAAGAAAAATTGGGCCAGTGCTGCTCAGTGGGCAGAGAGTTGGCCCTCACACTGAAGGGTCACGGGTTTGATTCCCGGTCAAGGGCATGCAACCTGGTTGCAGGTTCTTTTCCAGCCCCAGTTGCAGGAGGCAACTATGTATCTTGTATCTCTCTCACATCAATGTCTCTCTCTTTCCCCTTTTCCCCCACCTCCCTCTCTCCTTCTCTCTCTCCCTCCCTCCCGCTCTCTCTAAAAGTCAAGGGGAAAAACCCTCAGGTGACGATCAACAAAAAAAGCTCGGGACACAAGGCTCAGGTGCGCCTCCCCAAGTGGAATCCTTTTTTTTTTTTTTTTTAATTTTTAAAAAATATATTTATTTATATTTTACAGAGAAGAAGGGAGAGGGATAGAAAGTTACAAACATCGATGAGAGAGAAACATTGATCAGCTGCCTCTTGCACACCTCCCACTGGGGATGTGCTCAAACCAAGGTGCATGCCCCCGACCGGAATCGAACCCGGGACCTTTCAGTTCGCAGGCCGACGCTCTATCCACTGAGCCAAACCGGTTTCAGCGGGGTGGGAATCTTGCAGGTATGGATGGCCAAGAACTACAGCAGGAGGAGGACGTGCCAGACCCCACAGGCACAGCGCCGGCTGGCAGCTCCATGCTGGGCGCTCACCCTCCCCGTGTGCCCCGCCTCCGGCCGCTTCTGGCCAGGGTCCTGGCGCCACCGCGCAGCTCTGGCCCCGGGCGCAGTCCTGGCTCTGGGCGGCGCAGTCCTGGCTCCGGGCAGCGCGTCGGGAGGTTCGCCCTGCGAGTCTCCCCGCCATCCTCGCTGCGGCTTTCGGTCGCGGGCGGAGGTGGCGTCTCGGCGGTGACCCCCGGGCTCCCACACCGGCCGGGCTGCGGGGTGCGTCTGCGGACGGGGCGAGCGCCGTGCTCAGGGCTTCGTTTGTCGTCCGGTTGAGCGGGAAGCTGGCCCTGGTGCGGGGGGACGTCCACCTTTGTCCTGCGTGCACACCGTCACCTGGGGAGCCGCACGGAGAGCCGCAGGGCCGTCCCGCCGGGGTTGGGAAGCCACGGCCCGCGCGTCAGAGAAGCTGCCGAGGTCGCACGTGTCTCCGTCCTCGCCGCTCGCTGGCCTGCCGCTCCCACGGAAAATGGCAGCAGCGGCGACGTTCAGCTCAGCCCTGCACGGCGACAGCCGCCGCCACCGCGGGCTGCAGACACGGCCGGCTGCGGAGACACGGCGGGCAGAAAGCCGGGGCCGCGTTCAGCGTGGATGGACGGCCGCGCCGAGTGAGCGCAGAGGCCAGCGCAGTGTGTGAGCTGTGAGCCACGTGCCACCATCTCCTGCGGGTAAGACGCGCAGCACCTCTGTGTGCGTTCCCACGTGCACGCCTTATTTCCGGGGAGCCCGCTGTCACCCATTCGCCAGCACACCGCTCATTTCACTACAATTATTTTGTTGATATAGTCCGAGAGGAAGGGAGGAGGAGAGAGGGAGAGAAACATCGATGATGACAGAGAATCGTGGATCGGCTGCCTCCTGCACACTCCCGACTGGGGGCAGAGTCACCTGGGCGTGCGCCTGTCTGGAGCCAAACCAGCAACACGGGCAACGTGCAACCAACTGAGCCACACTGGCCGGGGCAGCACGTAATTTTTAAATGGCGTCAGAAAATGCCCCTTCTCTGTTCTCATGCATCTCCCTGCTGTCCTGACCCACAAGGCCACGCTGTTTACCGGGAACCAGGCCCCAGTGCCCCAGGAGGCGTGTGCTTGAGGTCTCAGTGCATAACCTCAGGGAGCCTGCTGGCCTGGGGATGTGCCTAACGTACCTTGGAGCACTGAATTTTGTGCACCAGGCCTCTAGTCTATAACAATAAAAGGGTAATAATGCTAATTGAACCAGACAGCCAAACGACCTTCTGGATGTCATTCTGGACATTCTTCGAAGCAGCAGCAGCAGCAGCAGGGGGCCGAGGCAGCAGGAGCCGAGGCAGAGGCGTTTAAGGGCCATCAGGCAAGCAGGTGAGCAATTAGGGGTGATCAGGCAGGCAGCAAAGTGGTTAGGGATGATAGGGCAGGCAGGCAATCGATTAGGGGAGATGAGGCGGTAAGGAGTGATCAGGTAGGCAGGCAGAGGCGGTTAGGAGTGATTAGGTAGGCAGGTAAGTGGTTAGGGGCAATCATGCAGGCAGGCAGAGTGGTTAGGGATGATCAGGCAGGCAGGTGAGTGGTTAAGGATGATGAGACAGGCAGGCAGAGGTGGTTAGGGGCAATATGGCAGGCAGGTGAGCAGTTAGGTGCAATCGGGCAGGCAGCAAGTGGTTAGGGAGATCAGGCAGGCAGGCAGGTGAGCGAGATGTCTGAGGGGCTCCAGATTGTGAGAGGGTGCAGGCTGGGTTGAGGGACACACACACCCCTGTGCACGAATTCCGTGGCCCAGGTCTTTAGTTTTTTAACAAGTTGCAACCTCAGGCAGTTTCCATCAGCCACTTTCTTCCCCCGCTGGCCCCGTCAGCGAAGGGACAAGCTGCTCTCTCCCGGGCGGACGGTGAGGGGGAGGAGGGAGGCAGAAGTCAGAGCCGCCAAGGTCCCTCCAGGAGAGAGCTGGGTGGGAATCCGTCCGCCTCTGCTCCCTGAAAGACGAGGTGCGCCCCAAACCAGCGCTCCTGGTGTGTTTCTGCCTTTACAAGCCCCTCCTCCGCCGCGCACCGCCCTGCGGAACCGAGGGAGGGGCCTCTGACCGAGGCCATCTCACAGTCGGCGTGTTCCTCGCCAATTACGCTCTCTGCGTGCTTTCCCGGAGGGTTTTCGGCCTTAAAGCCCAGCTGCTGGGCCTCTGCATGTGTCCGAGGAGAGGTCGTGTGAAAACGGAAAAGGTCCTTGTGAGCGCGGAGGGCAGATTCTCAATGTCTGTACCTACCTCTCGGTGGCTTGCCATCCCCGGGCCCCTTCGGAAAGGACCGCCTCCCCCCCCTTTGAGGATGCCTTGCCCCTCTCTGGCCAAGTTCCCTTCCACTGTGCCATCCTTCCACGGCCACGGATCTGCACTGAGGCCCGGATGCCGGCCTGACCTACAGCGACACACGGGCGCCTCCCTGGTCAGGACGACACGCTCACTGCGCGGAACGCGACATCTCAGACGGGAATCGCTTCCATTCAACAGGACGTCTGGATCACAGCTAGTTCCTTGAAGGGGCAGGCACGAAAATAACTGGACTCTGTGGCTTTCTGAATCACGGATTTCGCTTTTATTTTGGTGTTGCTTTCCCATCAACGAGCCTCGGCGCCTTGCCTTTTGGGGCATAAACAACTCTGAAAGTCCAGGGAGGGAATTGTGAGGCTCAGAATGCCAAGCCAGGAGTCATTTTCCCTCCAGCCCTCCACCAGGAAGCCGGCGGCCAAAGGAAGCTGCGGAGAGAAATGACCGCCATGAAACGTTTCCAGCTATAAAAGCTCCACTTAGCTGAGGACGCTGGGGAAGAGTTGCCTTTTACAGCGTGCTAGAGGCCCGGACCATGACATTCGTGTTCTCAGATGGGGAAGGGGGGCGGCTCAGCCTGGCCTGCGCCCTCTTGCAGCCCAGGAGCCCTCGGGGATGTGAAGGACGGCAGGTGGACATCCTTAGCGCCATCGTGGAGGTGAGAGGGACTCCCGCCACCACCACTGCACTCACCAGCTGTGAGCGGCTCAGGCTTCTGGCTGAGCACACGGACCATCAGGCGACCAGCTCCTGCACTGAGCGTCGGCCCCCTGGTGGTCAGTGCGCATCATAGCAACCGGGCTGCGGAGACATCACATTGGGAGTGAGGGCGATTTTAACCTCACCGGGTCCAACCAGAGCTGAACTGGATGAAACCAACGGAGGGGGGAGGAGGGGCAGAGGGAGGAGGAGGAGGAAGAAAAGGAAGAGGGAGAAGAGGAAGAAAAGGAGGAGGAGGAAGGAAAGAAGGAGGAGAAGGTAGAGGAGAAAGAGGAGGAGGAGAGGAGGAGGAGGAGGAGAAAGAAAAGGAAGAGGGAGAAGAGAAAAAAAAGGAGGAGGAGGAAGGAAAAAAGGAGGAGGAGAAGGTAGAGGAGAAAGAGGAGGAGGAGGGGAGGAAGAGGAGGAAGGAAAGGAGGAGGAGGAGGAGGAGGATCGAAAGGAAGCCTGTGAGACTCGGACTGGAGCTGCCCCCCCTCCACACACACACACACACAGACACACACACACGCACACACACGCTCCCTGGTTTCCAGGTGAGGAAACGCTCCTGAGAGCAAGGACCACCCGGCCACTGCGTCCAGCTGGCCTCCCGCAGACAGTGGCGGCTCTGACCTTTGACCTTCGACCTAAGGCTGGACAGAACTTCAGAGTCAAGCTTCCGCTCTGGCCTCCGGGCAAGCACCCGTCCACGGCGTCCCCTGCACCCCTTCCCGCCGGACGCTCCCCGGAGGCACCGCTCCCCACGCCCACCGCCCCTCCCCCATCCCAGGGCCTCCTCGGCCGCCGCCGCCGCCGAGACCTGCCATCTCTCCGCTGAGACCCATCGTCGGTGGTGCTGTCGCCCACGGGTGCGCCGCCCGGACTGGCGGCCGGAGGGCCCGGACGAAACGACCTGCGGACACGGCACCTGGCTCTGCCCACACGCAG